CGATATGTTGTCGGCGGTGGTGAACTCCCTGTTGTCACTCAGCAGGTTGATTTAGGAGTCGCACACGCATCAGCACTTTAGTTTGGTGACAACTGGAAGAAGGCTGCTTGTCGAGGGTTTCGTATGATGTGGTTTATCCGCCGCTCTTTCGGAATCTTAACGAACAAGTTGTTTGTGAAGCTATTGTCGGCATTCATCCGACCCCACCTGGAATATTGTATCCAGGCTTGTCCACCATGTCTTAACCGAGACAAAATGGACTTGGAGAGGGTGTTACGAGTGGGCACTCGGTTAGTGCATGGTCTACAGGGACAGACGTATCCTGAAAGCTTGCTCAGTTTGGGGATGTACTCCATGCACTACCGAAGGATAAGAGGGGACCTGATTCTCACTTATCGTATTTTGACGGGTAAGATTGGCCTGGACTTCTCAGGGCTTTTTGGTCCCGCTACGTTACCTAGTCTCCGCGGTCACCCACTGAAACTGCATAAGCCACGGTCTGATAGGATTAGGACGGTAACTCGTCTACCGCGCCGAGCTCTAGATCGTTGGAATTCGCTTCCAGATCACGTGGTTAGGGAACCAGCGGTTAAGGGTCTTGCGCGCCAACTCGATGCGCTCGGATGGCAACACCAAACATTTCCTTTTACCAAACTAACTCACCTTATGGAGGAACCGATAAAGGAGAATACCCAGTCAGTCAGGTTTACCTCACATATAAAGTATCCTGATGCACCTTAGCGTCGGACGGCCGTAAATCCCGAGGTATGCCGAAATGTACGTGTACGTAGAGTCCGATCGTGAACCAAGCAGGCAGCGATGCGCACAATCACAACAATCCAGCGGCAACCAAGGAAGAACCACGGAAGGCGAGCGCGTAACCAAGTGTGTGTATATACAGTTAATTAAAACAAAGCTGTACAACAACTGCAGCGAAATAGGTAAACGTGAAAATGCAAAATAAGCAAATTATTTACAATCGCTACAGTACTCCCCCCTAGAGCGTGCACTAAGAAAACGCTCGACAAGTGCCTACGGAACGTATTGAGCAAGCTTATGTGGAAAGGAAACAACACGACCAGAACGTGTGTGTTTGGAGCTGCGTGTAGTCGTAGGGCACGGAGGACTCAATGTACTGGCGTCAGTGTGTCGTTGGGTAGGGGGTAATGAGTCAGGGGCGGGGGTATGCTGAGGGGAGGAAACGGGGTCTTTACTATCGACTGTAGTTTCGACGTAAGCTGGCTTGAGTCGGTCGATGCTCACGGATTCTTTTGATCCATTCTTATTCAATACGAAATACTTGGGTTTCCGTGACAAGACCTGGTACGGGCCGTCGTAGGGCGGAGTTAAAGGTCTTCGGACGGCGTCGACGCGGATGAAAACAAACGGACACTTGTGCAAATCGGGGTGGACTTGCTGTTTACGTAGGTTAGGCCGCGTAGACGTTGGTCGAATGGATCGAAAATGCTGTTTGAGGCGTTCAGCGTACGAGAAGGGGTCTAGTTCGCCGGTGGTGCGAGAGTCCAGTACCATCTCCCCAGGTAGTCTGAGGGTCGTCCCGAACACGAGTTCTGCAGGGCAGCACCCAATGTCCTCTTTGATTGTATTGCGTATACCAAGGAGGATCGCAGGTAGACGCTCAGACCAGCGTGAGTCGGACGAAGTAGCCATGATGGCAGCTTTTAATTGTCGATGAAAGCGCTCGACGAGGCCATTGGCAGCGGGGTGGTACGCGGTTGTTCTCATGTGAGTACAGCCTAATAAACGACTCAGATCGCGGAACAGTGTGGAACTGAACTGAGCCCCTCTGTCGGTAGTGATGGTGGATGGAACACCAAACAGCGAAATCCAAGATTCAACAAAAGCACGGGATACAGATTCGGTAGAGGTATCACGTAAGGGAACAGCTTGTGGCCAACGGGTAAAACGGTCAACACATGTTAGAAGATGAGTGAAACCGTTGGAAGGAGGTAAAGGGCCAACAATATCTATGTGCACATGTCTAAAACGAGCGTCAGGGAGTGAAAATGTACCTGGGGTGGTGATTGTGTGACGATGCACTTTACTAGTTTGGCAACTAAGGCAATGTTTAGCCCACTGTCTAATGTCTGAACGCATATTGGGCCAGAGGAAGCGGTCGGTAATGAGTTTTACGGTGGAGCGGATACTTGGGTGTGAAAAACCGTGAAAATGATCAAAAATGGTTCGGCGAAATGATTGTGGGACAAAGGGTCTAGGCTTACCGGTTGAAAGATCACAGTAAACTCTTATGTCAGAGTTAAGTACGGGCAGTTGGGTGACTTTCAATGAGGAGTTTGAACGAAGTTGAACGAGCTCAGGATCATCGTTTTGGGCGGCCGCTATTCTCTCCAAGTCGATGGGTGTCGATGACAGTTGATTCACATGAGCGCGGGACAATGCATCGGCAACAACGTTGTTAGGACCGTCGATATAACGAACATCAACACAAAACTGTGAAAGATAGTCCAGATGACGCGTTTCTCGGGGTGAGTAACGGTCTGAGGAAGAACGGAAGGCATACACCAGTGGCTTGTGATCTGTCAAGAGAATGAAACGACGTCCTTCTAAAAGGTGACGGAAATGTTTCACAGCCAAGTACATGGCGAGCAGTTCACGACCAAAGGTGCTGTACCTGACCTGAGCAGGTTGAAGCTTCCGTGAGAAAAAAGACAGTGGTTGAAATTCGTTATCAACTAACTGTTGCAAAACTGCACCGACAGCAGAACTTGAAGCATCCGTCTTAAGGACAAGTGTAGCGTCCTCCGTGGTGTTCAAGTGATGGAGAGAGGTGACCTCACTGAACTTCTGCTTGACGGCCGTGAAAGCGGCTTCAACTTCTGGGGTTATCGTAAACGTCTTTGAGTTTCCTTTCAATAAGTCGGTAAGCGGGTGAAGTAAATCAGCACAGTTGGGAATGAATCTGCCGTAGTAGTTGATCATACCGAGGAATCGGCGAAGGCTTCGGACAGATTGTGGCATCGGGTAGTCGAGGATTGCTTGAGATTTCTCCGGAAGGGGTTTAATACCTTCACCATCGATCTTGTGACCGAGAAATTCGACGGTTGGCTGACCAAATTTGCATTTATCCGGGTTGATGTTTATCCCGTGGTTTTCAAAACGTTCGAAAACCATTCGGAGGTGTGATAAATGCTCGTCGGGTGTGGCGCTTGCGATCAAGACATCGTCAATGTAAACGTAGACGAAATCAAGGCCACGGAGGACCTGATCCATAAAGCGTTGGAAAGACTGTGCTGCATTCCGGAGGCCGAAAGGCATACGAAGAAATTCGTAAAGGCCGAATGGAGTGATCACGGCAGTTTTTGCGATGTCTTCCTCCGCCATTGGAATTTGATGGTAAGCTCTGACAAGATCGAGTTTGGTAAAGATTGACTTTCCAGCTAGTCCAAGGGAGAAATCGTGGATATGTGGGATAGGATACCTATCCGGAACAGTGACGTTGTTAAGAGCACGGTAGTCACCGCATGGTCGCCAATCGCCTGACTTTTTAGACACCAGATGGAGAGGTGATGCCCAGCAGCTGTTTGAAGGACGAATAATGCCGAGATCAAGCATGTGTTGGAATTCCTTTTTAGCTGCCTGGAGTTTGTCAGGACGCAAGCGTCGAGCTTTAGCAGTTACAGGCGGACCGGTTGTAACGATGTGATGGCGTACATCGTGTTTAGGATCGGAAGTGTCGTTACTTGCTCGAATTAGGGACGGAAATTGTCGGAGCAATGAAGAATACTGTGAGTCGTCAGGGATGAGGATGCGAAGCCCGAGAGAATTGACTGAGGCAAGTTTGCAGGGTGTGCTTAAAGACGTAGTATCGTCTCGCAATTTCCCACAACGTAGGTCGACCACAAGACCGAACTTGCTGAGGAAGTCGATTCCGATAATGGGCTTTTGCACATCGGCGATGGTAAAAAGGAAAGGGAAGTTACGCCGTAATCCGAGACTCAAAGTAAGTAATTTCTGGCCGTAGGTCGCGATTTTAGTCTGATTAGCTGCCGTAAGCATTGGACCCGCTGGTTGCAGGGGGCGTTTTTCCAGAGAACGGGGGAGAACGCTGACTTCTGCACCAGTATCAACCAAGAAGTGAAGTTTGGTTGTGGAGTCAAATACATACAACAGGCGACTAATAACCTGGCCAGCGACAGCCGCCGCCATTACTGGCTGGCCATGTGGTTTCCCGACGTAGGAGTTGAAAAGGCTTTGGGGTGTTTACACCCTGGACGGCACTTACGCGCTGCGTCTCCGAAGCGGTGGTGATAATAACAATAACGGTGAGACTTCCGTGTACGAGAGCTGCTAGACCGTCTGGATCGAGAAACGGATCGTCGCGAAGGAACGCGGTCGCGTCTGAGATGGGACAAGGTGAGCTCTAAGTTAGAAAGCCTCTCGCTGATTGTATCAAGTAGCGTGGTTCTGGAGGGGCTGCCTGAGCTAGTCTCTGTGACGTGTGATACCGACGTTCTAATGAAGCGTTCGTGAACCTTATCGGCAGCTTCTGCCAGTTTGTCTAGCGGAAGATCGTCGGCAAGCACAGCTAAAATAGCCGTGGTATTCGCAGGAAGACAATTACTCCACAACTGGCGGAGAACGGAATCATCCAGTGCGGAAGAACCGACGAGGGAACGCATGTGTCGGAGTAACTGAGATGGCGTTCTATCTCCAAGTTCTACACCAGAGAGTAACTGCTGAAGGCGTGATTCGTCTGAGGCTGTAGTGCGCTTTAATATAGCTGCCTTAAGTTTATCATAAGGGGACTCTAGGGGCATAGGGTCAAGAATGTCGATGACCTCAGAGGCGATGTTGGACGGTAAGTGAGCAGTCACATATGAAAACATTGTGGATTGGGATGTAATCTTACGAAAACGGAAAACAGCTTCCACTTGAACAAACCAAACACGTGGGTTAGAAACGTCAAATGAAGGCAAAACGAGTCCAAGAGAATGTTCCGACGCATTAATGGCAGGCGCGTGATCAGACATTGTAAGTAAAAAAAGAAAAATAGACACAAAAAATAGATAAAAATGCGGGGTCACCAATTATATGGAGGAACCGATAAAGGAGAATACCCAGTCAGTCAGGTTTACCTCACATATAAAGTATCCTGATGCACCTTAGCGTCGGACGGCCGTAAATCCCGAGGTATGCCGAAATGTACGTGTACGTAGAGTCCGATCGTGAACCAAGCAGGCAGCGATGCGCACAATCACAACAATCCAGCGGCAACCAAGGAAGAACCACGGAAGGCGAGCGCGTAACCAAGTGTATGTATAAAAAGTTAATTAAAACAAAGCTGTACAACAACTGCAGCGAAATAGGTAAACGTGAAAATGCAAAATAAGCAAATTATTTACAATCGCTACAACCTTCACTTTTAAGTTCTTTTATACAGACACAAATATCTTGGTATTCTACTGGCTTAGCTCTTTCCACTTTTTCTT